CCCCCCGCAAAAGAAGGAAACAAACAAAATAAACAAACACCCCCCGAAAAAACCCAAACAAAAACAAACAGAAAGGCCCAAAATAAACAAAATAAAACAAACCAAAAAACAACAAACTTCTTTACCAAAAGCGAAACAAAATGCTCAAATCAACCCAGTGACGGCATCTATGAACAATGACATGTTCGTTCATTTTCTAAGACTCCCCTCCCCCCAATCCTTTCATTTTTCTCTTTAGAGAGCAAACCTTCTTGTACTCTCGTTGTATATGGCCTTTGTAATCGAAAAAAAGAATGCTCCAAAAGATGAGTCCCGCATCTATAATTTATTGACACAAGAGGCAAAGCGTGAGGTTGTAAGAGCTGTGCCCGACCCGAGTTTTAAAATTCTTTTGTTTCGCAGCCCGAGTGGCTTTCACACTTTGTAAAGATTAATTTGGATCACTCACGTCACCATTGTATTGACTGGTGAAAAAATGGTGAAATGGTATAGGTTTAACGCCCCTATCAACACTATTAGGTTATTTAAGAGATGGGACCTCGAAGTTTAACACCCATCTCGGAAAAGACATAGGCAAATGGGAAATTCGTGTGAAGTGCCTTTTCCAAGGACACAACGTCGGACCGAGCTGACGCTCAAACCCCCGATAACGCAATCTCACGATTACGGGTCCGGTAGCCTAACCACTAGGCCACTGACGCCACGAAGTGACTGTACATGACAAGACGGTTTGTTCCTCTATCCGATATAAAGCGAAATTAAGAAGAGGCCAAAGAGGTTATTAATAGAACTAGAGGGCTTAGCTGTGACGTCACAGCTGCGACCTTTAGTACTAATATAACCTCTTTGGAAGAGGCCCACAAAGTGCCGGTGGCGACATGACGACTATAAAATTGTGTATTTAAAACTATTTTTAAGGAGTGACTCTTTTTTCATGTGAAAAAGTAGGAGCAAAGATTGTTGCAAAACAAACCCACTTGTTTTCAAAAGAAATACAAAATTTTCATCAGTCTTGTGGGGAACTGATATCATTGTAAACAAATAGCAGACCATAACCCTTTTCTTGTCTTATTGTTCTTGTTTTTTTGGTGAAAGACATACCTATCTAGGGCACAATCTTCGAATACCTTTAGCTTTCAGTAATGGGGGATTTTGATGATTCACGAGCACCTCTTCAGCTCAGTTGGTAAAATTTCTGAGCCGTGGTAGAGGTGGCCCTGGTTCAAATTCCCTACGAGCATTCTTGAAAAAAAGTTTTTTTTGGGAGAATTTACGAATAAAAAGAAAAGTATCCAGGCTGCAGTAAAACAGCCTTTCTCCTGAACAGCACCCTGCCTCCCCCCCTCACCCAAATGAAAAGAAAACTGAAGGCACCAAAAAAAAAGAGATAAACATTGATCATATTTAAACGTCAGGGTCTCATAGTCGCTACCCTCGCCAGCCTCTTTTTCATGGTTTAAGCTTCTGGCGAAGGAAGTGGACGAGACACAGTGGGATTTGTGCTCCAAAGATGAAACATAAAGTAATAAGAGAGAGGAAGAGGAGAATGGAAAGAGGAAATAATGAGAAAGAAGACGAATGTGATGATGAAGGGAAAAAAATCAGCTAGAGATAACAAGACAGGAAACCGTAAAGTGAAATGAAAAAGAAGAACAGGGAAAACATTAAAACTAAAGGTTATAAAAAAGCTTTTAGAGACAATGGATCGATATGGGTATATGAATGAATGGAGTATATACCTCCTCCTCCTCCTCCTCCTCCTCCTCCTCATCATCATCATCATCATCATCATCAACAACAACAACAACAACAACAACATAGATAGATAGAGAGATAGACAGACGGACAGATAGATAGTGTGTCCCCCTGTGTGTGTACATGTGTGTGTATGTGTGTGTATATATGTGTGTGTATATATGTGTGTGTTTGCGCGTGCATACGTGTGTTTATGTGTGCGTGCCTTCCCTCTCTCATGCAAAGAAACAAACAAAGAAACAAGACATGAACACTTACACAAATGAGCACCTCAAGGTCCTTCAAAAGTTCACTTTTTATTTCCACTGTGAAGATGGAATGTTCGACTGTCGAGTGCTCTTAGTTCGTATATTGAATTAAAAAAAAAAATCCAAACCAAACAACACAGAAAAAATATAATCCCCAAAGAAACAATCTCCTGACCAAAGGGAAACAAAGAAGAAAAAGAAGAAAAGACGAATACATCAAGTGACAAAACAAAAATTAATCACTGAGACTCTTCGCTCATACTCATACCGATAAGGAAAATTAACTCGAGCTTTCGTTATTTTTCTACTCCCTCCCCCCTCCCCCTCCTTCGCCCCTCCCCCCTCGCCCCTTACCCCCAATACACATACAAACACACAGATACACAAACACAAACACACGTACACACACACACACACAAACACACACACACTCACTCACTCTCTTTCTCTCTGTCTCGCTCTTTCTCTCTGTCTCTCTCTTTCTCTCTGTCTGTCTGTCTGTCTGTCT